ATCCAGCCTTCACTCTTCTTCTTTACACAGTTTGCAGCCTGACCCGACATGATTATCAGCCTGCTGTCGAGATGACGAGTGCTCTGCAGCCACAACYAACACATCGTTCCTCCATCTGCATTCCCTCAGAATACCACACTCAACCACTGACTAGGAGGGGAAAAACACAACTTAAATGTGCAGTAAACCCATCGGTGGTGCTCTTTAAATGTGAACGCACCTTGTAGAAGTTGTATTTGACTYTGTTGTGTAATATAAAACCCATATGCTCCTTCTCTCCTCCTCCCCCCGTTCCGTTCTCACTATCTGCTTCTCTCATTTTCCCACCGGGTAGAGGAGCTATAAATTAAACTGGGAAATTACTGCTAACTGTTGGAATAAATTAAGGCGCTTTTGCGTCTGTAAACACCGTCTGACTGCGTAATTACACTCCCACTCCCGCTGAGACGCCATGGAGAGGGAGGATAAGGGAAGGCATGRGGCAGAGATGGAGAGCAGCAGACGCTGAAGTGAAAAGAAGAATTGGGGAAAAAAATCACAAGGAGGTCAGATTTTAGAAAGTGGAAGGGTTAGTGATCCTGAAGAAAGCTGAGGGCAAGTGCTGACTGAACATCTTCATCCTAATTAAAGGATTTTTTWAAAATGGGGTTCTGTAGAAGGTTATGTAAGTTATGAATGACAATATCTTACCTGTTTCAGATAGCTCTTCCAACAACAATAAATTTTTAATTCTGAAAGGACTGATGAGCTAACAGATAATGCAAGTAAAGCCAAGTTCAAACTAAAGGACTGACATTTTAAAGTCATTACAATCCCCTGAATTTTATAGTCGTTCATGTAAATTCATTGAATTTTACACTATCATGATTTGATGGTTACCTAGACGGAATGTTGTATTTATTTCAAGTAACGACAGCAGCTAGCTGTAGCACTTTCTGCACAGTATGAGACATTTTAGGCAAGAAAAAAGTGATTTTTCTGCCTGTATAACCCAGCTACAGCTAACTGCTGCCGCTGGAATTTAGTAAATTACATTCAGTTGAACTACTGTGAATATTCTTGGGTTTAGAGTTGACCACAGTGATCAGCTCGGGTCTTGGCCTTTCTCAGACTAGCCATTAGCTTGTCATTCCAGTCACATTTAGAAGCCTTTTACACAGAAATTATGTTTTGTAAATATGAAATTTTATTTATTAATAACTGATTTAGCCTTGTGAAAACGATGTTTTGTGAGCTCCAAATTATTACTCATTTTAAAAACAGGTTTCATGTCAATAAAAAAAAATTATATTAAAAATGTAAGCTCACATTTTTGTGTAGACTGCTACAGCACAACCATTTAAAAAGGATGTCATAATCCCACCTCCAATCTAACTTACACCCTGAGGAAGTCCTCCTCTTCTTGCATTTATATTTCACACCCACTATGAAGGCTCTATGAGCACGCTCAAAGCCTTGTTTCTTGTTTTTGGTGTTTTTGAGATACCATTACAGCACCACCTACAGGCCTGGCATAGTTACTGTAAAGCACGTGTAAAACTCAAGGTTTGCACGCTAAATGTGGCCTGCGAGAATTTCAAAGGTGTATTAATGTCTTAACATTATGGTTCCCACAATGCATGTCGATTAGTTTCCCTGCAAAGAGAAAGCATCCCAGCACTAGGTGAAAAGTTCAAAAGTAGCTGGCAACTGCAAAATTCACAGGGGTAAAATCTCAGCCTTGATAATGCGCCATATAAGTTCAGACCGTTAACCATTTCTCTACATTTTTGCCAGCTACTTCAGTGTTTATCAGAGGACATGTTAAACACTGTTTCTATGCAGGAACTACCATGCAGAGCTCAGTTATTGTTTATTAGTGGTGCTCAGCCTTAGCAATGAGACGTTAATCGAAGTTAAACATGAAACGTCAAACTTAATTACAACTGGCCCTCTGAGGGCCACCATAATACTCAAGRGGCCCTCGGTGAAAATGTGTTTGACACCCCTGCTCTAATGTCACTAACAACAGAAAAGTGGTTTTCTGTGGTTTTATTTAGATGAGGACAATTCTGGAAACAATGTCACTTTTATTACAATATCTGTAAAATATTCAAAGAAAATATTGTTTTTGGAGTGTCTGTTTTTGGTTTAAACAATACCTTATACTTTCTCTTTGAACATTGATTCATTGAAAGAGCTATCTACAACAGGTAAGATGTRAATTGTTCATAACCTTTCTGAAGAACCCCACTTCAAAACACCAATACTGTGCATTAATGTATAATCACTTAATTTTATCCAGTAAAAACATTCAACTAATCTGTTTCTGTTCTGGCTCCAAGTTTTATATTGAAGAAACTAAGCTTTATAAATGCAAAAGTTTCAGCARGAGTTCTTAATAAATCTACATTTTTGACACAGTCAGGTCAGTGAAAAAAAAACATTTTGAATTACAAAAGATAGACTGAGAGTCACAGATTTGAATGTGTGGCTAGAAAAAGATCCAGACAGACAAGGACAGCGACACAGTCTGCCTGAGCTTTCAGTCAGCCACYGGGTGAGTCTGTAAACTATCACCAGGCAGGCACATTTAATTAACACGTCTGAAAATGTGCAAGCTACTGTAAACCAACATGAGCTGCTGACACCCAGTCACAGACTCAAACAAGGTTGTTGACATTAGCCGGCACAACACAGCCGCTGTAGATCTGAGGAACACACACACACACACACACAAACACAGACAGGTTAATGAAAGAAAGAGTCCAAAATCCAGGTTAGGATCCACAAAAAAACAAGCTCCCTGATTGAGCTCATCGATGACTAACTCGTTGATAACCTGCGTCTGCTCAGCTCAGCGTTTGTTCTCATTTGGGGAGCACTTTCAGCTCGACACTGTTCGCCGGCGGCACGCTTCTTTCATGAGCGCACTGACAACAACAAACCAGGCCTCTCAGCTGTCAGCAGATCACAAGGCGTTTGCACAAGTCGAATTGGGTATATTAAGATTGTAATGATAAAAAAATCCACATTTCACAAACAATAAGCATCACAATGAGAAAAACCAAACTGAGAGTTAGTCATGTGTTAAGTGTTACAAGCCCCTTGCCTTTTTAAGTTCCTGTTATTAGGTGTTTCAATAATTGTTTACCACTAAAATAAATCATAGACATTTTATGCTTTTTTAATGAACACATCTGAGAATAAGAAACCATGAAGGCCTTAGATTTGTTTTTATAGCTGCCAGTCAGTGAAAATTTCATTGAAGCTAAGAATTATACTAAAGCCTCTGGGTTCTGTTTAGTCTCAAAAATTAGCTTTTTTGTAGAAATTGCAAACCTGTTGCTGATCCCATGCCCCACATACTAAAGAGGAGAGTAACAATCACATTTTGGGGATTATAACTCCTTCCTAATGCAGAATAAGAAAAGAAAATTAAAGTGGTTTGCCCACCTGATTCTCTAGGGGTCATCCAGGGGTATATGCCTCAGAAGATTTAGTAAAATGTCCACTTGAGATCTACTCTGAAACTTCCATTATCCTTATTTAGTTTTCTATTCACACTGAGCACCAGTAGTTATCACTTTTATCATGAAATATCTTCTGCACCCTATAACACCTCATGTAGTAACAAAGCAGTTGAGAAACCTACAGACCAAGTTACCTTTATAAACCTGAGGAACCTGTGATTATTCTACAGGCCAAACCAAACATACTTGGATAAAAAGGTTATAAAATACAATTTTCATCCCCCATCTCTGGCGCCCCATAGATGGTCAGCACCCATAGCATTTGCCTATACTGCCTATGTTAAGGGCTGATGCTTTCCATGGCCTGAAATGCTATTCTTGTCATTTTCTCAGTGTTTCTGTAAACAGAGTGTGGTTTTCCAAGAACCAAAAGGAGGTACTGATGAAGTAAAACCGGTCAGAAGSTTTATTATGAAGGAAGGGAAGCTTGAGGATCTGCAGAGAGGAAGGTAGGGTAAGTATCTTGTAATCATTTGACAATCTTAATATCCACAGACTGTAGTGGTTAGCTTACGGTGATGTTTTTTTCTCCTTCAGGCTTGGAGGATTCCAGTGTTTCCAAGACGTCGTAGGCTGATATCTCAAAGATGAGCCTTTTTCTTAGTTGATGTCAGAGACAMCAGACAAGGTCAGATGTTCAAATTTATCTCTTCAGCTTGAGAAGAACAAAACTCACAGGTAGGTACTCGAGGCTGGGCTTATGGTAGGTGTCTGGGAAAAAACATGAATGAAAACTGGTTATATGTATTAAATCTCAGACTCAAGATTAGTATTTGTCTTTAAGGTAACTTATATGGCTAAAATCATGCTCAAGTGTCAGCATGTGGTCTGGCTTACTGCTCATCAGCTGTGGTGATTGAGAGRATGTGAAGKTCATGACTGTGGAGAGATGATGAGTGACAGGAGAACCAGGGACTGGAACCCTCACATAGCTGAACATTAAACCAGTTAAACCAGGTGGAGGTAGTTGGTTAATGATGTTTGTTCTGCCCCACGGCACTATACWAAGAGACTGATGATGATGATGATCAACCATCCAACAGTAGTGCTCAGTTRAAAAGCCTGCATCTCTYATGGTATGGGGGTGCATTAATGCCTCTGGCATTGGGCGGATTACACATCTGGAAAGGCACCATCACACAGGTTTTAGAGCATCTTTTTCAGAAAGAAAGACGATGCTAAACATATCACTGCATCCTTTAAAACAGCTTGTCTTATTGTGAATAAAATAAGAGATTTAAAAATAATTGCATTCGGCTTTAATTGACATTTAAAACACAACTTTTCAGAAGATAGATAGATAGATAGATAGATAGATAGATAGATAGATAGATAGATAGATAGATAGATAATTTTGCGTGATGATTCGCTGTTATTCAAAGGGAAAATGTACTCCAGCTTCCTTATTCTTCTCTTTTTCCTCTCCTCCATTTGTCAGTCTCAGCCCGCACATTGGAGAGGTTTTTTTCTCTATCTCCTTTTTTTTTTATTTTCAGAGAATAAAACACGTTTCCGCGTCTCTGGGCCAATTTATTCAGTGCAAATCGCAGCCGAGAGGCAGCGCGTTCTGCAGAGATGCGCGGCTGAGCACGGAGCGCTCCGGTGACTAATTCCCCATCAGGAACCGCACAAGTTGGACCAGGCGACGAGTCCGARGCTGTTTTTCTTTATCCCCCCACCCCACCCCATCTCCTTTTTGCTTTCTTCCTGTCTTTATTTCCATGTAGCCCAGTGCCGCAGCGGGGAGATAATCGGGCAGAGGGAGCAGTAACAGAGAGCAGACAGGAGGAGGGAGGGAGAGCGCATGATCACTCAGCCCCACATCCAGGCACCCATCAACTGGAGCATTCATAATTGCGGTGGCGTCCACATATGGGAATACAGCGAGGCGAGACCGTGAGCAAACCTGGTTCTGGTTCTGGAGGACACAAGCGGACCCGTGCGGATAAAACACACGTAGAGGAGGAGCGGCCAGAATCTGATGGACTTCTGTTTGCATCGAGAAGCCGAACACCATCCATCGGTAGGTGAGCGCTGATTGATGAGCTCCTGCCAACATGCTCCTCATCCTCCGATGCGAGGAAGACAAATAAGAATCATCATCACATCCTGTGTGTTTTTAGCGCGCTGCAACACAAGGATCTGTGTTTATATTATTATTTCTCCTGCTTTGTGGCTCAGGACACAATTAGGTCTGTGTGGCACAATGCAATCGTCTCTTTCTGTGCAAAATGACCAAAGATGCAGGTTTTATTGATGATATGAGCTCTGGGTGCGGGTTAGAAAGGCCCGGTGTGCTGAAAGATTCATTCAGAAAAGGGAAGACAACATGAAAGCTTTGGGGGATTTGGTGCACATTTACATGCAAAACACAAAAACTGTATGTTATCAAATGAAAATATCCAGTTTTTTTACATTTAATCTTTGTTTATTTAAAAGAATAATTAAAATGACTGCATTGTAGTTGCAACTATAGCTGTTAAACAGTGCTACACAGGCTGCATGTTATACATCCCCCTAACCATTCTACCCCTGGGGATGAAACCAGGAGTGTAAAGTTGATCAGGTGAGTTCAGATAAACCCCACCCTGCTATGTTTTCATTTACTTATCTGATAAAGACTTGTGGACAGAATCACTGCACATATTGTGCCTGCAACAGCACCCCCTGCCATTCCTGCCCATTAAATTGTCATTAAGGTGGTAAAACAGCTGAAATCAACACAACGTGAAGCAAATCCAAACAGAAAATGGAGAAACGTCTCGCTTCCGAGCAGAGCGGCTCAGCCGAGGGGTTCGCTTCTGTTATTGCCGCCAAACGAACCCGCCTGATTCTGTGTGGGGCTCAATGTAAAGCTGAGCTGCTCTGCATTCGAATCTGACTGTGAAGAGAACCGTGACCYCCAGCCGCTCTAGTCTCCTGACCAACCCTTCTGCTCACTGAAGAAGGTTTTGGAAGCGGAAGCAGGACTCCTGTGAGGAAGGAGCTGCAGAGGCTTGAGACGTCCCTCCTGCAGGAGCTTGATCTAACCTGTGCACATGGCACCCGGGCGATAGACAAACAGATGGCATCTCCCGGGGAATTCATCTCGTGAATGTTGGACGAGGTATATTCTTGGACTTGGCTGCCCTCTGACTCGCTGGCAGCGAGGCCCACGTCTGGCAGTAATCACGGCAGCCGTTGTTGAATGGCCTCGCTGATTACATCTCTCAGTCTTGTGACTTCCTCTCACCTAGAAAGACGTAGGAAAAAAAAGGCAGAAAAATCCTTCGGTGCTGCTGATGCTGCTGAGTGTTGCTCAGCTGATTTGCATTTTCTTCATCGTACATCAATAGATGTGAGCGATTGAGATTCGCGAATTGCACGAGCGGCCCGGGCACAATGCAGCCCTCTTCCAGCTCTATTAGAAGCACAGACATTAACATGGTGATTGAATCGTGAGGCCCTCTCATTCATTTGAAGACAGAGCAGGCWCAATGTGATGTGGCACCGAGTCTTTGTAGCGTACGGATCTTTGTGTTGCATCTGTTGATTTGAAGTGAGCTTTAATTATTGCTCAAAACATCATCTGAAAAACGAAAACTTTATTTCCTGTCTGAGATGGACGGTGTTCTGTTTTTATTAGATGTAGCCAAATGGAGCAGGGAATACTGTAAATGGGTGTAACCATGGAATTCTGAGCTGTCTTGTTAGTAGAGGGTGTAAATGCATCGAAGCCTTGCATCTGTTACTCTTTTGTTTCCATCACAAATTTGGATTCACTCCTCCTGCAGCTTTGGGAAAACACAAAAAATACATCAAAACAGACAGCTTGAGCAGTAAATTATCCAATATAGACAAAATTCCCAAGAGGGGAATATTTTCAGTAACATAACAATGGAATTTGGGCAAAACTTGTGAGAAAACCCAAACCTTTTTGAGAGARAAGTAAAAAATTGTGATGAAACTAACATTTTGATATCAACTTTACATGGTCACAATTTAAATTTTAGGTTTCTTTAGTATTATACAACAGAATATTCACTTTAAAGGGGCAATATTATGTGTTTTTCAGGCATATTTTTAAATACTATACCATAARAAAGTATCTATGTCACCTTTAGTTGTTATTAAAATGCTGTTTTTATGTTTAAATAGAAAATAAACTTATCTTCTCATCACTTCCTCTTCTAAACGCCTTGAAATTGGCCTCTGTCTCTTTAAGAACCTCCTTTCGCTTCTGTCCCGCCCATTTCAGCACGCGCGGGGGGTGGGGGTGGGGGGGCTATGATGCAGTTTACTTGGCATCTGAAGATACATTTCCTCAAAGGTATTTTGAATCAGAAAAGAGCTTCCCTGAGTGAGAAGTAGTGTTAGGAGCTCAGCAGACAGTTTCAGTTTCACTTCCAGTTTCACCCGTTATTTGCTTTGTTACTGCCGAGAGCCTGCAGGAGTCATGGGCGGGGTGTGTGGGGTATGGGGTGGGCAGGTGTGCTCCGTGATGAGGAAGCTCAGCTTGCAGACACAGCCCAGAGGCGGAGCTGGTCCCAAAAGGTGGTTCTAGTCCCAACCGGTCGCTTTTGCTCACCTGACTGGATGACTAAGGACACTACAGGATTCCTCAAACATGCATGAATGAGTCAAAGCAAGACTCTGAGCATGTTTTTAATGAGAGGATAACATTATAACATGATATAAAACTAAAAAAAGTTGATTTTACATGATATAGCCCCTTTAAGGTTGCAAAGACAGTGAACTAACTTTTTAGCAGTATAATTTTTTCAAAGATTTTTGCAAACTCTGTAATTTAAACCGTCTTTATACTTTTGAAACAGTTTAGACATCAGAACGTAAGTCTTTTAGTGTTTCTCACTGTTGTAGGACTAAAGCCTACTGCACGTTCCYTCCAAATCYGCTTGCATTGTTGCAGTTGCGTGACAAAAATTGTGTAATTTTGTCTGTGGAGCACWTTTTCTCAAATGYTAAWTMGACTGAACAAGTCTCTCTGGACCTCAAAGKTCTTTACACTTACATTCGCCCATGCACACTCACATTCACACACTGTAAGCTACATTGTAGCCACAGCTGCCCTGGGGCACAGAAGCAAGGCTGCCATCCACCAGCACCAACTCGGACCACCACCAGTAGGCAAGGCGGGTGAAGTGTCTTGCCCAAGAACACAACAACTGAAATGGCTGGAACGGGGGATCGAACCGGCGACCTTCTGGGATGACTCCCCTAACCACTCCTCTACAGCRGCCRRAAAAGTGAATACATTGAGTATRGTGTGATTGMTTAGAAATMTTTGGATGTGGGGTCAAACAACAATGGTGTAATTTTGCTTCAACTACCGTTTCCAGAAGTCGACTGTTGTGTTTCGAAACAACATGGATAGTTTCGAGGAGCAGTTGTCTGAGGCAGTTAGAAAGTACGTTCATCTACATGACTCTTCCAGACACTTAGAGAGGTGGTCAAATGGCCAAAAACTCCTGAATGGAGATGGTACAGACATTTTACATGCAGAAAAACATCCGGTGAAATGTGTGGCGCTCTACCCATAACCAATTTGTGGCCAAACAGTGGATATCGGAGTGGAGGTTCCAGTGGTATAAAATACTCACGATGTGACGTGTACACCAGTATGAGGGGTTTCCCAGGAACTCTGTGTAGTTTGTCTCACGGACTATGAAAGGTGTGTGAAACCGAACGTCCCACAACCACAGTGACCGATKGGCTTCAGGTCGAGTATGCCAGGCCCTTTATGGTTTCCTTTAAACTCTAAACTCTTATTGACTTCCATTGTACCTGAGCCTAAAAATTTCTCTTGAAAACTAACTTAAAACACATGTGACAACCAAACTTTGTACAACTCTTAGTTTTTTTTAGGCCTTTGTCCCCCTACACTGCATATCTGTCTTCTTATCCAGTTTAAATGTCACGCTGATYGCATATTGTCAGRTTAGATTGTTATAAATGTAAYTCCCAAATTACTATTTGGCTTTAGAGAAGAAAGCTGATTTATGTGTGAGTTTCAGGCAGTAGTTGAACCYTTTAAATGCATTTTTGAGTTTTCTATTTGCTTCATACAACTAAAATAAATGTTTAAAAACAGTGTCCAGCAGCAGACGATTAATGTCTTTGGTGAGCAGCAATGAAATGGGTAGGATAATGTGTAGGCAGCCATTTATAATTGCATTTAGCCTTCAGGCTTACTTTCAGTAATGACCAGCTCACTGTAAGAGTGCCTTACTTGGCAACCTGTAGCAGATCAGAGGCTCGTGTTGTTGCTGCCAGTGATAAGCCTGTCTTAAATCATAAGTGCTCGTTTCAGTCGGCTGTGAAAGCAGGGCAACATTACTCGCTGACGTTTGATGTATTGATGTTATCGACTGATGGGCGGATCATTTCGTCCTGATCTTTGACAGATCGGCTTCGGCGCGTCACGTCGGAAGCGTTTCAGAGCGCGGAGAGAAGATGATGTGTGAAAGATTTTACAGCAGCGAGATCAGCTGGCTCTCACATCTGCATCATTAAAGCTTCAAACCCTGCCCTCATTTTGCTTTGTCTCTTTTTTTTCCTTTTCCCATCACACGCTGCTCAGTGTTGCTGCAGAGCAACCGGGGGGACGTGATGTCGTTTCGGCTCAGCGAGCGGCTGCTGGCGGCCTTTCTCGATCACGCCGGGAATACGTGGACTTCCTGTGTATAAAAGCACAACAGCATCAACCATTATATTCATGACAGCACAGTCYTTAGTGGAATGACAGCCTTCTCCACGCCCATTGTTGCTATTACAGCTGAAAAATTGATGTCTTGCAGTGTGTGTGCTGGGCAGTAGGTGGAAACCTGTCAGAACAGGCTGAAGGTGGACTGTGAATCAGGATTAAAACGGCTCATGATTTTGGCAAAAAGCAGCTGTACCCATCYTTGACTCAATTTGTGAATTGTAGGATAAGTCATTCCAAGAATCCTTCAGTGTCATTACTGCAGTAGTAAAGTGTAAATACATGAGTAAAAAAATGTGTCAGAATAAGTTCAGCTGCCACTAA